TCTCTTCAATTTTCTAATTTTTTTTTTCATTGTTTTTCTCAATATTCTTTCTTTTCTTGTTTCCCTATTACTCTTCATATTTTCCTCGGTCACAAATATGTCTTGAAAGTTGCATTTAAAAAAAGCAATCTCCATGTACACTTTGTCCGGTTCAGCTACACTGAACTTCTTCTTCATATTATTCACATTCACTGGCTGTAAATTCTGGTGGAAAGTTCTGGTTGTTTGTCCATCTCTGGACTTTAGTCTTGTTCCATATCTTAGTGTGTGTGCAAATCTGTTTCAACAGATCTGCCTTATACTTATGCAGACTGTTGTTTCTTGCCTCTTAAGCAGTGACTTCAAAGAAAGCCCCCAGCTAGTAGACTCCCCCAACATGCTTGTTGGGAAATCAAAGGGTCTATTTGTGTTTTCATCCTCAATGGGACCCCCAAACCCACACAGGAATCACTAATCAATATTACCCTTACTGGCACAAGAAAAAAAGAAAAAAGCCACAAGTTTGATCAGACAATATTCCTAACTGTTAAAAACTGGTGCTGTTTCACAGTATTAATATTCTATCTCCTTCAGATCCATAAATTAATTAAAATAACTTTTTATAACAGGAGCAGTTAAAGTGACAACTGTCTGGAACTAAACAACAACAAAAGTGAGATGTCAGTAGCCAGTAGGTAATGGACATTCAATCAGTCAATCAGCAGGTTATTTACAGAACGTTGCTATCTTCACGGCAAGCGTAGAAATCTCTTTCTCTAGCCAATTCTCCAGCCCTATGTGCTTTCATAGCCAATGCATCTTCAATGTCCTGTATCACCCTTCATGGATGTCAGCCTTGACCTCATTTTCCAGAAACTGTGCCCTCCATTACCATTCTCTCCAGACCACCTTGGTACTTGGCATGTCCGAAATACCTCAGCTGTCTGGAGAGGATGCTGTTTATGAGCCAGTTCTCTCTAATATTCAGGTCATGAAGGATGTCAACATTTTCCTTCTTCGCAGTCTATGTTATTCTAAGAATTCTGTAGCATTTCTGCAACAAAGCCTGGCATAAGATATCACAATGTCTAGTTTGAGAATGGAGGTGGAGGCAGTCACTACTGCCTTCCGCTGGCTTGAGAATCAGCTGTACACACTGCTGTGATTGTAACTGACTCACAGAGCATGTTGAGAAAGGTATGCTACGTGCAGAGTGGCAAGCATCAGAGGTCCCGGCTAGTTAGCATCCTTTGGATATGCTGTTCAGGTTATACTGGTGTGTTGGGAAATGAGCTGGCAGATATACTGGCCAGTTCTGCACCACTTGGTATGAACTGATGTATGACAAGATAGATATTGTGAGGGCCCTTTGGGAGCAGGTGAACATTGTGAAAGCACAAATATAACATTACGGTCTGAGGAGAATGATGCTGCGAGGAGTTGCCAGGGGATCTGGCTGATGTTCAACACTCAAGGGAAAGGCAAGTTGGATGTACAATCAGACAGTTACTGGTGCCATGGGAATTGGAACTCTTCGTTTGCTGTTGAAGATGGGGATGAAGTGCTTATGGGAGTGTTCAGAGTGCATGATGTCAATTCTTAATTCAACATTTGTAGCATTTCAGTTTAAAAGATCCAATTTTCTTCTTCAAAGACAGAGTGATGGCCCATGACTCACATCCATAAGTTGCTAAGGGACAGATGCATGATCTCAAATTGTTTATTTTATCTTGCTTGCAAGTGCCATGCCAAAATTTAATCGACATTTACAGCTGGAAATAAAAACCTGACCTGTAACCTCTGTAGACTTTCTGAATTTGTACAGCTGCTTGTTTCCTTGCCGTGTCCAGCTGTTCTATCCACTGCCCACGAGAGACCTCGTAAAGGTGCTTTTCTTTTTCCAGAGCTTCAGACAGTTGATCAATTTCAATCTACAGAAGAGTAAGTAAAGTAAAGTAAAGTAAAGTAAAGTAAAGTAAAGTAAAGTAAAGCAAAGTACAGTAAAGTAAAGTAAAGTAAAGTAAAGTAAAGTAAAGTAAAGTAAAGTACAGTAAAGAAAAGTAAAGTAAAGTAAAGTAAAGTAAAGTAACGTAAAGTACAGTAAAGTAAAGTAAAGTAAAGTAAAGTAAAGTACAGTAAAGTAAAGTAAAGTAAAGTAAAGTAAAGTAAAGTAAAGTAAAGTAAAGTAAAGTAAAGTAAAGTAAAGTACAGTACAGTAAAGTAAAGTACAGTAAAGTAAAGTAAAGTAAAGTAAAGTACAGTAAAGTACAGTAAAGTAAAGTACAGTAAAGTAAAGTAAAGTAAAGTAAAGTAAAGTAAAGTAAAGTAAAGTAAAGTACAGTACAGTAAAGTAAAGTAAAGTAAAGTAAAGTAAAGTAAAGTAAAGTAACGTAAAGTAAAGTAAAGTAAAGTAAAGTAAAGTAAAGTACAGTACAGTAAAGTAAAGTACAGTAAAGTAAAGTAAAGTAAAGTAAAGTAAAGTAAAGTAAAGTAAAGTAAAGTAACGTAAAGTAAAGTAACGTAAAGTAAAGTAAAGTAAAGTACAGTAAAGTAAAGTAAAGTAAAGTAAAGTAAAGTACAGTAAAGTAAAGTAAAGTAAAGTAAAGTACAGTAAAGTAAAGTAAAGTAAAGTAAAGTAAAGTACAGTAAAGTAAAGTAAAGTAAAGTAAAGTAAAGTAAAGTAAAGTAAAGTAAAGTAAAGTAAAGTAAAGTAAAGTAAAGTACAGTACAGTAAAGTAAAGTAAAGTACAGTAAAGTAAAGTAAAGTAAAGTAAAGTAAAGTAAAGTAAAGTAAAGTAAAGTAAAGTAAAGAACTCTTTTCCACACCTTCAGGTGTTTTGAGCATATAGAGCTAGACCTATATTATATAGACCTATCTGCACTTTGTGGGTGATGTGGTTAGCATCAGGCAGGCTGCCTTTACTTTCCAGGACTTTACCTCAAACTCATTTGAGTCAAGGTCTTTTTTTTTTCCAAAGTCCAGCTCCGTGTAGGCTGAACCCATGACCTTATCATCCGCAGCTATAGAACAGAACATTAACTAAAATATAGATAATAAAGAATCTAAATTAGCTGGAACAGCAGTCATTGGAATGAGGTCAGGTAACTATGCAGGGCAGATAACTCTGTTAAATAAAAACAGTGATATGGCCATTCATGCTTGAGAGGGGCCTTAATTTCTCCCTATGATGCATTGCATGGTTTATCTCTTTAACCCTTTCACCCCAAAAAGCCACAAAACTGACCCTCTAAGAACCGTTTTCGGGACTCTATAGAAACAGTATTTACGAGGTGTTTAGCAAACAAAAATAATTGCATCTGTGCCTGTACAAACATCCATCATGGCGGGATGGCAAAATTTACTTTAAAAAAGCATCTGGGTGGGCTGGCTTTATTTATAGAAATGTCTATGTCATATCTTTCCTATAGGTTACGGTGGTTACTGGGTCACAGGTTCAAGAGTCAAGCTATAATTAGTTTACAGTCCTCAAGAAATGTACCCAGCTGATCCTGTGCTGCATTCGTTCTAACTTATTACTCCCCTTAGTAGTGTAGCATTCATGTTTTGGAAGATAAACTGAATTGTCTTGGGTGGGTGTGTGTGTGTGTGTGAGACATGTGTAAAACGGTTATTTTTCTAAGGAATTTCCATCACTTACTGCTTTCCTATTAAAGATTTGTTTCCTTAGAAGTAGCATGTTACATGCTAGATTCATAGTGATTACAGTATATTCCTATTTTATTATTCTCATTTTATATTTAAAATGTGATTCCAGTTGTTTCTTCAGTCTTTCACTTGAATGTGGATAGATGTTTCTTAATTCTTTTATAAGAAAGTAAATAAAAGTTTCTTTATTCTCTTATACAAATGTTGATTATTATCCTTAAGTCTTTTATATGAATGTTGATACATGTTCTTTAAGTCTTTTACGCAATCAAATAATAACAGACAGCTTACAATACCTGAATAAGACTCAGTTCCTGTGTTGTTTGCACATTTTTAACTTTCTGCTCTTCTTCACTAAGTCTCTCATTTTCTTTCAATCGTTCCAGCATGGCTGCCTCTTCTTTATCATGAACCTGCTGCAGTAATTTCTTTCTCTCTTCTTGATAAATCAAAACTGCATCCTCTTCTTGCTTGCATTTTTCTATAGACTAAAAAGGTTGACAAGAGGAGTTAACTCTGAGTTTCAATCAATCAAACATTCTATATTTATTAATACATGGGATTATCTGCCCATGAATTTTGTATGTGTGGAAACATTACTAACATACATGAATGTGCACTTTACCTTATTAAAAGTTTATTATAAGGCACACAAAAATCGCCATAAGTTCATTTCAAAATCAGAAAAACTATGGTTGAACAAACCTATTAAAATACTCATTGGATGTTGGACGTTGCAAGCCACAAGCCACAAGAAATGTTGACCAAAGCTATATCCAGGGACAAACCTTAGGGAGATGTCAAGGTGTTTGAACTGACTACTTTTACTTATTCAAGTTTACATTTTTATTATACATTTACGTCAACATAGAAAGATCTACAAAGAAAATAAAAGGGAATATGTAAAACCACAATGACCAAATTCTTTAAAAAGTACAAAAATTGTGACGGTGCATATAATGAAAGAATGTGAGCAAGAAGTAAACAAACAGTCATGCATTCAGAGTGAGGAGCTAGGACAAAAGATGAGAATGTTGGTTAGATACTATTAATTACATAAGGGGTCTCCTTGGCGAAATGGTCCGTCTGTTTGCCTGAAGCTCTGAAGGTCCTGGGTTCGTTTCATGGCAGCGCTATTCAATTTACAAGTGCAATTTTTATGGAGACCCCTGGGGATCGTCACTAGAGCTACAGAGGTCGTGCTCTGTGCGATGCTCTCGGCAGGCAGTTTGCTGTTCTATGGACAGAGACAGCCATATGAGATAAAACCTGATGCAATGAAGTCAGTCCTGTCACCTTTACCTTTATTAATTGCATATTATTGCATATTATTCATAAAGTATCTGGGTGTTACCTTAGCAAGAGTTTGAACTTTGACCTCATGCTGCTGTTCAGTTGTCCGTAACTGTTCAAGAATATAATCCCGCATGCCAGACAGAGCTGTAGAACTTACCAAGGGTCCAGCTGAAAAATAGTGAACATATTATATGAACATATTATATAAAATTTTTGAAAAACTAGCGCTGTTATAAATAAAGATATCATGTAGCAGGTTCTTTGCAGAACATCGCTGACACAACAGCCAGCCTGAAAGAAACTCAGTCTCTCGACAGATCTCCCCACCTCATGTACCCAAAGTGTTATTTATATCCTGTGCCCATCTTCATGCTGGCAGGTCCTGTCCTTCTTTCCTGGCACCATGCCCTCCAGTAATATTCTCTTTAATCCACCAGGGTGCCTGATATGCCCAACATATTTCAGTTTCCAAGACAACACACTGTTTACTAGCCAGACTTCCTTGATGTTTAGATCTTGTGATGTTTAGATAAACATAACACACTTTATGAATAAATTAAAGGACCCTTTTACTATAATGGTGCATTAGATCCACATGTTCACAGATTAATCAGTGCTTCAGAAGAATAGAGCATATTCAAACAATCCTAGGATCAAGGAAAAACTAAGCCAATTCTTTAGCACGTTACTCTGACCTTCTTATTCTTATTCTTGTTTTTCTCTGTTGCCACCTTATGATGGTATCAAGCACAGGCTTGCTCCATGCAGAGTGGCAAGAATCACTTCAGAGGTCTTGGGTAGTTAGCATCCTTTGGATATTTTCTCCAAGTAAGCTGGTGTGTTGGGAAATGAGCAGGCAGGCAGACTGGCCAGCTGTGCACCACTTGAAGGTGAACTGATGTATGCCAAGCTGGATTTTGTGAGGGTCATTTGGGAGCGAGTGAACAGTGCGCAGGCACAGACAGATCATAATGGTCAGTGGAGAATGGCGCTGCGAGGAGTTACCAGGGGATCTCGCCAACACTCAAACACTCAGGGGAAGGATGAGCCGGATACACAGTCAGACAGTTGCTGGTGCCATTGGAATTGGAACTCTTCACTTGCTGCTGAAGATGGGGACAGAGTGCTTATGGGAGTGTCCCAAGTGCTGTGATGTTGATTCTCAACATTCAACATTCTTCTTCTTCTTCTTCTTTTTCTTCTTCTTTGTCATCATCATCATCATCTTCTTCCTCTTCTTCTTCTTCTTCTTCTCCTTCATCATCATAATCTTCTCCTTCTCCTGTTCCTCAAGTTACTTCAATGCATCAGTGTTGTGGGAAGATGTAAGGGTCTTCTGCATGCTCTTATTAATATTTTGTATTATAAGTTTAATATTCCTTTCTGGAAGGCTGTTTTTGATAACATGTTCCATCTTGTGTGTGGTCTTCCTCTTGTTATGTGTCCATAGTATGTCCTCAGTACGGCTCTCGGTGGCCAAACCATCTCATATTTTGCTCTTGAATGAACTGTATGACTAGTTTCAGTCCTAGTCCCCTTCTAATTTCTTTCATATTTAATTCTCTCTCTTCATGTCATTTCCATGTTTTTATAACTTTGTGCTCGTTAGTATGCACATGTACAAAGTGTAATAAAACTTGCTATGTGATTAACCTGGTTTCACATTAAGTGCCCTTCACATATCACACTTTACTGTGTGACTTGGGACAGAAACATTAATGCAGCCACAAAACATTTTTAAAACAAAGAAACACAAATTTTACCAACCTTCAAAATGTTCATTTGTGAAGCTGGAAGTTTTATCTCCCACAACGGTGTGACTAACATTTGCCTCGATTCCTACCTCTCCATTACACAAGGCAAGAGTTGTCTCCTCTGAGGTAAGAGAGTTATCCCCACCTGTCACTGTGGCATCCTGCGGGAGAAATGGCTTGGTGAGAATCAGCTATTCTGTGACTTGCCTGAGAGTCACCTAAATTTAGCTCACTGACTGGGAAGTAGCTGAAGTATAAGGTATCTGCATCCATCTTGAAAATTATATTTTTATCAAGTTTAAGGCACTATTTGTAAGAAAATGGTGTTCCCCCCCCCCCCCACCCCCTAAACTGTCCAAAGGCACATAATCTTTCTTTTCTTTTAATTCACCAACTGTAAATCTGGCAGAAAGTTCTGGTTGTTTATCTGGACTTGATTCAGAATTTGAGTTTTGCGTGCACATCCCTCGTACAGATATGGCTTATCTGTGTGCAGACTGTTGGCTTCTTGCCTCTCAGGCAGATGTACTCCAGCACTGAAGCAAACACCACAAATTAGTCATCTACTATAAAAGATGAACTGCCTGTGTTCACAGCTAAAAACGTCACATGGTTGTCATTATGATCTCTGAACAATGATCAAAGATAGATTGCCTACATTGTATCGATGGCTGACACAGTTAACATTGTGATTTGTGCTTTCATAAAGAGGTAGTTTTGAATTAGGACAGTGTAGCTTGTGTTTGGTTCATGTTAAGAAGACAGCAGCCTAACAAGGTCAACAACTATATTTAAGCAAAGCCTGCTAGGAGATGTCTGACAACTACTTAACCTAAAAACCTTCTGCAATTGGAAATCATAAAGTACATGCTATTATGCTGGCAACATTTCAACACTAAATAATCCAAAAACAACATAATATTAATAGAATAAATGAAGTCTGGTTTTTAACAGATTATAATTTTAGTCTATATTGTGTAGGCTTTGTTTTATTTTTCACTAATTTGAAACTCTACTGGTATGATCTGCATAAAGACACTTAGGGACTAATGATTCTTCTTCTTTACTGTTAAGCTGTTAAGCAAAAAGGCAATTGTGTTGTGGTTTACAGCTATGCTGTGATATTTGTGCCTTTTGGCCCAAAGCATCCTGTTTCAGCAATTCCTTAACTCATCAGAGGTTCAAGGAGTGATAACGAGAAACATATAATAGAACCAGCTTGCATTCATTGGGCTTCTAGGTAGGAACCGATAACTGTATGATGTGTTTCTTGGGACTAAAGAAACTAAATGGGTCACCTTTTACAACAAGGAAAAGTGGGTCTATTCTTTTTTATCCCCAAAAATGTGGCCCCAGGATGCTAATTTCAGACGTTGAAAAGATGCTCTTTAAATCCAGTTAATATACTGTAACATGAAAGTAGAAACACCAAGAGGTAGGTGGATTAAAGAAGCTACTGATATCTTGACACTTCAGTTAAGAAACTGGTCATCTGTTAACCAGCAATGCTTAGCAGCAAAAAGCAGAAAAAGAACAAAAGAAAGAAAGAAACACACTGTCTATATGTCTTACCTCACATGGTAAGACAGCCTTGACTTCATCGCTCATTCCTAGCCGGATGGCAGATCTGAGCTCATTCAGTTCTTCTTGTAGCTGAGAAAACTCTTCAAAGTCACGTTTCACATCTTCCTCTGTAAAATCTTCCTGGTCAAGATCACTCAATATCTGCACACACAAAAGTTAAAAAAAATGCTTCCAAATCTGGTTAAATTTCACTCAGTATCTGCAAAACAGAAGCAAGAAAATACTCCCAAATTTGATTACATTCATTTGGAACTGTCCTGGTTGAGACAGCTGATGTGGTAATATGTTGAACCAGCACTGGTATATGGCTGTGAATCTTATAATGTGAATGAACAAATCAGGAAGAACTTGGAGGCTGTGGAAATGTAGTTTCTGAGAGGCAAGTTGCTGATACTGTGTGCAGCCGGAGTAGCATAACAACTGCTTGGTAATGGCTAATGTAATTAGAAAACTGCATACAACTTAAAGAGAGAGGCAGTCAGTGTTTTTTTGGTCACAAGATGAGAAGAAAGGCCCTTGGAGAACATCATGAAAACTGGAAAGATCAAAGGTAGAATAGGCAGAGACAGGGCAAGAGAAATGATGCTTGGTGGCCTGAAGCGATGGCGTTGAGCAATATCATCATTGGAAGTGATTCGCAATACCAAGGACTGAGATCTGTAATGAGACCTGTGCGTCTATGCTGCCTGGCAGGGCATATGATGATGATAATTATATATTTATAACAACACCCACTGAGTGAAGAATTTATTCATCTGACTTCAGCAAATCCCTAATTAGTCACCTTTTAGGACATGCTTGTTAACCCTCTCGCCCAGGTACCACTAAGAATTGGGGTCATGACCCAGATTAAAATTAGGCACACATTAAAAATAAATTTAAAACAGGGGCAAGAGAAATGACAATAAATATTCAGATGACTAAAAAAAGGTACGGTAAAAAGGGCATATTATCTACCAAAATTGTGTTTAGGTTTTCATCGATAGATCTGTATATAAAAGAAGTTTCAATCAAATAAACGCTAACAGGGTGAAGCATTAAATAAAAAATATTCCCTGGGGCCTAAAAAAATAAATATTTAGATGTATCAGTTGACTTGTGTTTTAGTTTTTCATACCATGACCCTGTGACCCCTATCATAGAGAGGCTTACAGGAAAATGTCAACTTGGCTTTAAAAATGCTTTTTGGTTCAATGGAACCCCACCATCCCTCACCCACCACCTCCCCCCCACCCACCACCCCATGTTATTCTGAGTTAATGTTTTCATACCCTCACTTTCTAAACATTTGCGCAGAGGCCGCAACAGTCAATTGCATTTACTATGCATCTCGTAAACAGGTCACTATAGACAAGTCCCCGCCTGCAGATCGGAAGGTCGTGGGTTCGCATCCTGACGAAGCCAGACTTTTTTTTAATGACCTTGATTCTCAGTCGACCCAGCCTTGAGTGGGTACCAGGTGCAGTCCTGCGAAGTAAAGGCGGCTAATGTGCTGATTAGTCTATAAAAAATATAGGTCTAACCGTATATTCCCAATACACCCAAAGGTGTGGACAATGGACCTTATAGACAAGTCCGAAAAGTGAAGTTAACTGGGAATGGGACTCAAACAGAAGTGTCAGTTTGGCGGCTTCCTTGGGTAAAAGGGTTAAGGAGCAAAGGCTCTAGCAACATTACACCCAAAATGACTAAAGAAAAAATAAACTAAAAATTGACCTTCTGTTTGAACTCTTCAACTGACAACCCATTTTCTGCTGCAGCCTTGTCCAACTCCATAGAATCCTCATACAACACCACAGCCTGCCTGTTCCCTGTTATCAGGATAATCATAACAAGTTTTAAAACAAAATACTTGCATACTAAATGTATTGACTAAATTGTTATCATTATCATCATGTAGCAAATTCTTTATGGGAAGTTGTTCATATCAAAACTTGTTGGCATGTTTACATGTTAGCATGTCATGGACTTTTTGATGGAGACATTACAGGGTGGGAAGTTCTGATATACTGGTCTACAGTCCCAATGAACTGCCAACACAGATGTCATGACAGTGGTGGTAATATAGTTCAAAGAGCAGCCACAGCCCTTCTTCACAGACAGTATCTGCCATCTCCCCAAGCAGTTGAGTGCATTTCTTATGTCTATAATTGTGTCTTCTTCGCATTCAGCATCTGTGAACTCCAGTGGTGATTTCTGGTTGTTCATCCACTTCTGGACTTTAGTGTGGTTGAAGAACTAGAGCTTTGCTTGCACATCCATTTAAAAGAACTAGCATATTTGTAAGCTGACCACTGGCTCTCCACCTTTCAGGGCAGATGCGCTCCGACTTTGAATCAAACCCTTAATTAGCCAACTTTTCTCCGACCCCCTCCCTCCCCAAATGGGTTAACAGAAAACAGGAAAACACATGGTGTAAGCTCTGCACAAATACAGTTCCTGATGGACTGTGGCCCTAACTCTGGCTCAGTAAACCAGATCACAGGTGTTTGGTTAGGAAAAAAAAATGAGTTTAGTTCTGGAATACAAATTTACAGCCACCTCACATATGTCCTGACGTGCCCCAGGACTCTGCCATCACTGAGTTGTTCTACATTAATTAGTCGAAATGACCAAACAAAATTAGTTTATTTCATATTATTTAACCAAAACGTACCATTTCTAAGTAAAATTATAAATAACGGAAATGTTATTTACCTGTTGACTGATGAGGCATATACATGAGTAGTTCATCACATTTCTCCAGCTCTTTCTCCAACTGCCGGGTCTGGGATTCTAATGTGGTAATGTATTCACTGACTTCTGTAGGTATCTCCTGAAACCATTAAACATAAGATAATGCGTTAAATGTGTGTGCTTCTGCGTATAAGTATATATATATATACAGTAAAACTTTGATCAACAGTCACCACCTGGAATTCGGCTGTGACAAATAACCGAATAGACCGATAACAGAAATATCTTCAGTAACGTGATTTCTCTGCAGGCTTGGGATGAATATGAAAATAAAATCCTTTAAAAGTTAATAATATATACATCATCATCCCCATTTAGCAGGTCCTTTGCAGAACATCGCTCTCATCACGATCTGCCTGAAAGAAACTCTCGCCAGCTCTCTGACCTCATGCATTTTCATCCTCAAGGAGTCACTT